TAATTCGGTGTTACAGGGAGTTTGTAAACGGCTTTTACTTTTTATTGAAAATTTCGATTTGTTCGTGAGGACAATCATAAAATAATTTAGGTGGTGATTTCAATATTAATATAAATTTTGTTTCTGCTCGCCACGTTAAATTTTCTACTTTAATTCAGTCTTTTGGTTTATTTGATATAATCACTTGTACTGCCTGTGTTACTTCATTCAGTGAAAGGTTCCTGGACTTACTTATCACAAACATACCTGAGACTCGACTCTCTACTGGTGTAGTGTAATCTGATATCAGTGATCATCTTCAATTTTATTTTTTACTGATTTAGATTATTTAGGGAAAGCTCCTGAAGTCGTTAACGTTCAAACACTAGATCTTTTCGGGTACTGCGTGGCATCTAAAATTTATAATTTTGTGCTCTCAAGGAACTCAACTGATGAAGCGAACTATTGCTTTATCAATCAGTTCAATTCTATATATAAATATTGTTTTAATCCCAGAAACGTAATATATATATAAAGTCTACGAAACCAGGGTTAACCAAAATATACTAAGAATGATAACGAAAAGAAACAAGCTCTCTGCGCGTCTTTTGAACACTATATCGATACCTATTTGCGTTTCAAATGTTTAAAAAGTGTCAACTAAAGATAATAAGCATGCTAAGGAATGCAAAATCTTCATATTATTACAGAATGTTTTACAATAAAAATAAAGTGACGTAATTTGAAAAAAAACATTCATATTTCATTTGACCGAAACAATCACGATAACGTTGTACGAGAGCTTATAATAAAAGGAAGTAAGTTGAGTAGAGTTCAACAAGCAAATACATTGAATGATCATTTCACAAATTTACTCTCTCCTGGAACTCAAGGAATTTCGGAAAACTGTTTTCTGTTTCCTACTGACGAGAGCCAGATACACTTGGTGTTTTTACACCTCAAAAACCATAAGTGTACGAATTTTATTGAAATGCAGGTGCAACCAATAAAATGCGTTCTTGAAATTATTTCACCTTGTCTCACACACATCTTCAATTTGTTGTTCTCGACTGGTGTTTTTCCTAAAGTTATGCAGATCGCAAAGGTGTCTGTTTTATTCGAGCCCGGGGACAAAGATATGTCCAACTACAGACAGATTTCAAAATTGCCTGTTATTTTCAAGAGCTTAGAGCAAGTTATTTATGTCAGGTTTAATAATTTTTGTGAAAAAACATGCTACTTACGGATTCTCACAATGGTTTTCGGAAAGACCGTTCTATTGAACTGGCACTTTTACAGCAAAAAGAAATTATCTTAAATAATGTTGTAAACAAGTGTCTAACTTTTAGTAATATTTATTGACTTTTCTAAAGCCTTTGACCCGCACAATCATAATGTTTTGTTCGGAAAACTACAATTTTATGGAACAGGAGGAAAAGGTAGTTGAACTTCCGGCAGTAGTGTTGAAAAAAACGGATATTCTTCAATGCTGAAAGTAGTTTGAACAGAAGTACCTCAATGTAGTGTATTGTGGACATTGCCGTTTAACCGATTTATAAATTATGTAGTTACTATCCCAAGTAATGCATCATTTTTCATTTATGCAGATGATATCAGTATATATTTTCAGGAAAGAATATCGATAATTTAATTACCGATGCAAATATATTCCTAGAAAAGTTAGTTGCTGGTGTGTTTCCAATTCTCTAAAAATAAATGAAAGTAAAAAAAAGCAATTATCTTCAAACCGAAACGAATACATAGTGTAATTCCACCACACAATTGATAATGAATCCCTCTGAGGTTAAACTCGCCACTACTGTTAAAACATTATGCGTGAATTTTCACTAACATATGTTATGGGCTTCGCATGTTCAAAATTTTACTCTGCAACTATCGAGTATCATAGGTGTTCCATATAAGCATCGCTATGTATGACCATCTCGTGTAAAACTTTAAATAAACAATGCATTATTTAGCTTTCATATATCATACTGTCATCTAGTTTGGGCCACTACGACAAATACTAACCTTAATAAATTATTTTGCTGCAGAAAAAAAGTGAAAGCCGTTTACAACTCCCTGTAACGCCGAATTGGAGCGCAGCTCTTGAGGAGGAGGAGTGAAGGGTACTGAGGGGAGGGTAGACCCCTCCTCCTTCTCCTCCTCCTCCCCTCATTCTTTAATATGCTCCGGGGGGGCGTCACGTGACCTGGGGGGGTATCACGTGACTTCGGGGAGGGGGTCACGTGACCTCGGGGAGGCGTGACCTGGGGTCACGTGACCTTGGGTGTCACATGGGGTCCCCTCAAGGTCACGTGACCCCCACGTGACCTCAGTGGGTCACGTGACCTTGGGGGTCACGTGACCTCAGAGGGGTCACGTGACCTCGGGGGGTCACGTGACCTTGAGATGACCTTGGGAGAGGTCACGTGACCTTGGGGAGAGGTCACGTGACCTTGGGGAGGAGACCACGTGACCACGTGACCTCAGAGGGGTCACGTGACGGGGGTCACGTGACCTTCAAAGGGTCACGTGACCTTGAGATGACCTTGGGAGGGGTCACGTGACCTGGAGGGGTCACGTGACCTTGGGGGTCACGTGACCTTGGGATGACCTTGGTTACGCCGACGGCGACGGCGACGGCGACGCCGCTCAAGCCGGGAACGGGCCCCTAAGAGCTGCGCTCTAAAAAAGAATTCACATCGTAACTCATGAGTTGTAATGCGCACATACCGAACCTCTGTTTTCCAAACATAAAGTAATAAAATCAAAGAATATTTTAACTATTGTCTAGCGACAATGTACGTGGCATTACTTAAATTTCCTAAACATTCATTACGCTAAATTTTAAAATTAACTAACAAAATTATTGCATATGAAATGCGCAGCGCCGAATGTATGAGAATATCACGTCTAAGAACTCATTAAGGCTTCAGATGACTCAGCATACACTTCCAACAGTATTTAATTTTTTTCAAAAAACAAGGTGTCTGATTGAACATGATTGTAAACCTGAGACTGAGGCAGAAAGAGAACACAACAGAAAGTAGTAAAAGTGGAGGCAACGTCTGCATCAAAAATTTTAAAAATAATACATGGCGTGAAAAATTATCCTCCTAAAAACATAATACTCGGGGTGGTGCATAAATGTTTTTTCTTCCGTTTTACACAATGTAATTATATCCGGCTGACCGATCTGCCTGTAGGGGGAGGGGCTTCGTCTAGCTGCACCTCTGCAAGTTTTTCTCCTAGTAAATCGTCAATTTTCTAATATGGGAGTAAATGAAATGAATTGAATAGTAGAAGTAATTTTTTTTTTTTGAAATTCCACCATGATCATTCAGAACTCCGTTTAAGGTTTGTTTGAGAAATGCAGTTACAAGCATTTTGCTCAAAAATAAATAAATTATTTTTTGATGAAGTAAACGTGGAGAATTGCGCACCATCTGCATGACACCAACCATTGCTACACGGAAGGGGTTGCTGTTCTCCTCCGCGTTTCCCGATTTAGCCGATTCCCGGTCGTGGATTGCCCACGCAAAGACTGGACCACGTTCCCCGGAAAGACATTGAGGAAGGAGGTAAGAGTGAAAGAGCAGAGAGAAGTCGGCCGCCAGGGTAGCTAACTCACAAAGAAAGGTTTCGGAGCTGCCATCGCTCTGTCTAACGCAAATGAGCCGAATGTCCTGCATTCCACCTATACTCCGTGTCACTAGTTGTGTGGAGTGCAGGCGAAGACAACGCCAGGCGAAGCTAGAATGGTTGTGAAGGAAGGCGGGACGGGAGAGGAGGGCAACGAAGAGCAAGAGGAAAAAGGTGGAGCACTAGGAACTAGGCTGACTGAAAAAATTTAATCCTTAACCAAGTTTGAATAAAAAACAAAATATTCTACATTCCGGGACCAGCTCGGTCCTTTGATCACGGATGACTATGGGCTGGGCGATTCTGCTTTGTCGTCTTCATCTATACCATCTTAATAATCTTCATCTTCAACTCCGCTAAAAATATCCAGCGCTGGAACCCTGTTCGGAAGGTTGCGCCCGTCTATTTCTGTGAGGCGACGAAGTCCTGAGACATATACGCTTGGGAGAGTGCCTGATCATCTATTGACGTTTTCTTTCGTTGTTTAGATATACCAGAGTGGCCAAACCGTGGCTCACGAGCCGCATGCGTCTCTTTGCTGGTCCAAGAGCGGCTCGCGGATCCCTCGTAAAGAACCCCCCCCCCCCTTCCCCCCGGCCCGACGCCCGTCACTTCCCTTCTTTCTTTCCTGGGGAAAGAAGCAAAATCTTTCCTCCTTTCCCCAAGAAAGAAGTAAAATATTTTAGAACAAAAAACAGCTTGCACTTCGATCGGCAGCTTTTTGCCACCAGAGGTACAGTTGAACCGCATTTCTCTCGTATGCTTCCTGTTCCTTTTATTGTTCGAGAGAGTTTGCTGGACCCTAGGGGGAAATGCATCAGGGACAGGGATTGTCAAACCAAATACTGTACAAGGGTCAAACTATGGATGCACTTTGGCTTGGGGTCGAGAAAATGTTCTGTCTCCCGGCCTTTGTCACTTGCGGGTGATACTTGCCCCCTTTAGATAATGGATCTTTCCCCATATCGTTTCTTGTTGAAGGTCGCGGAAACCCGGGAAAACCGAGAACATTTAATTGTTATTTTTACCGGCTGACAGTTGTTACCCGCAGGCTGCTTTTTTATACTTTCGGGGAGGGGGGGGGGGGGGGGGGAAGGGGGTGGCTAGCCAGCGGTTAGCGAAGGCGTGTCTCGAACGCTTGCATGGAAGGGCAAAATGTTTCTTGTACCAAGGTCGTGCTTCGATTGGAAAAGCAGACATGTGTTCACGGAAGATAAAACGTTCTAAATGACTGTCAGCGTTCCATGCGAGCGGGTCATCATTTCTTCAGCTGCCCCTACGGTGTTCTACCTGCTCTGTCGAGACAAGAAGTTAATTGTTGCCTCGTCCAACCACCCTTGGCGAACTTTTGACGAGGCTTTGCGGTCGTCGTCGCAATGACGTCCAACAAGAAACTCAAGTACAAAGATGAACATCGGACATTCCTTCCTGAGTGGGAGGAAGATTTCGCTTTCACAGATAAAAACGGTAAACCCCTCTCCCTCACTTGTAATGCAGCAATTTCGCACCACAAAGCAAGCAATGTTCGACGGCATTATGAGAGCAATCACAAAACCTGTTCTCGGGACTGTCCAGCTTCATCTGAGCTGAGAAAAGTCAAACTGGCCCAGCTCAAATCGCGACTTCAGAATCAGCAGTCCTTGATGAAGACCTTCAGCAAGGAATCTGACGTAGCAGCCACAGCAAGCTTTTCAATCGCGTGGAACATTGCTCGTACCAAGCAAGCTTACTTGGAAGGAGAATTTGTGAAGACCAACATCTCCGACGTCGTGGCATTGTTCGATCCAAACAACAAGGATCTTCAAAGGTTGGTCAACCAAGTCACAGTTTTACGACATTAAATCGAAAGGCGCATTTCACAGCTAAGCGCCGACGTCGTCGACAAGCTTCAAGAGGGCCTGAACAGTTGTAAAACATTCAGCTTAGCCCTTGATGAATCTACGGATATACAAGACAAACCACAGCTTGCAATCTTCGTTCGTTATGTTTCATCCGACGAAAGCGTGAGAAAAGAGCGTCTGTACATGGTTGCCCTCAAGGAAACCACTCGTGGTGTTGATATTAAGAATGCATTGTTAACAACGTTAGAGTTGTTCGGTGTTCCTCTGCAGAAACTTGTCGCTATTGCCACTGAAGGTGCGCCTGCTATGGTTGGTAAGAATGTGGGCTTGGTAGGTCTGCAGAGCGACCCCAGCATTCCAGATGTTCTCCTAATTCATTGCATTATCTGTCGCGAGCACCTGCTGGCGAAGCACTTCAGCCACAAAGACGTTATAAACACCGTCCTTCGAGCCGTCAACTACATACGATAAAATGCAAAAACCCACCGGCGATTTCGGAACTTCCTCGAAGAACTGAAACCTCATGAAGCGCCCAAAGACGTTTCGTTTTTTTTTTTTTGTGCGGTACGCTGGCTGTCAATGACCAACGTACTATCAAGGTTTGTGGATCTGCTGAAGCCAATTCAAGCTTTTCTGGAGGCGAAAGAGAAGCCATGTCCTGAGCTTCATGACGCAGGTTGGTGTGTTGATCTCAGTTACCTCACTGACGTAGTTCACCACCTTAAAACTCTAAACATGCCGCTACAAGGGAAAGGAAAAATGGTATCGGAATTCGCCCAAACAGTCTTTGGCTTCCAAAACAAGCTAAAACGTTTTCAAAACGACCTGAAAACGAAGTGCCTGATCCCCTTTTTGCGGCTGAATAGCATGCTGGACGCAGAACCTGAGTTTGAACTGACCGACACTAAGCTCGGGAAATATTTCGTAAAGCTTGAGGATCTCGAGAGGGACTTTCATTCCCGGTTCAAAGATATGCACCAACTCAAGCCTTGTTTTGCCCTTCTGATGAAGCCTTTTATGGTTGATGTGTTCAGTGTCGACTGTCCAACCGTGAAAAACTTGGCAGGGAATGTAGGAGCCTTCGAACTGGAACTGCTTGAACTACAAGAAGACGAAGGGCTGAAGACGTTCCTGCAGTCTCAGCAAATTGCAGTACTCTGGGGGCAGGTGCCAGAAGCAAGGTATCCCCACGTCAAGCTCGCGGGCCAGAAACTCCTCTCCATATTTGGATCAACATACTGCCGCGAGGCTGTGTTCTCAACAATGGAAGCGGTGAAGTCAAAACAGCGCGCAACCCTTACGGACGACCACCTGACTGAGCTGCTCCGGAGCGCAACGACGTCGTTCGAGCCGAACTTCAAGGGGCATGATTTACGAATGGGGAAGCCCAACACAGACACAGAATGCGCAACCGCAGCATTAGTATAATTCACTGTGCCCGCAGCCGAGATGAATGAAATAAACAAAGCTGGCACGCTCTTCACTAAACTGTTTCTTTTTTATGGCTCATTGCATATGTTGCATATGTTTGTCCAAAGGCCCTAAACAAAAGTCTGCTACCCCCCCCCCCCCCCCCCCCCTCGCCGCGGCTCTTAGAAGTTTGGTGGTTTTGTTTGCGGCTCCCAGCCCGGGTCAGCCTGGCCACTCCTGAGATATACCAAGATTCCAGGTGCAGATGTCTACGCCAGTGTTTTTCCGTGGCCAGAATCTCGCTCTTGTCGAAAGACACGCTGTGACCAAGTTTTGCGGCGTGATCAGCGAGGGCAGTGGTTTGGACGTCGTTGTTCCTCACGCCGTATTTGTGGCGGCGGATGCGTTTCGAGAAGTTCTTTGTTTCTCCCACGTAGGCAGCAGGGCAGTCCGCGCATGCAATGCGGTAGACGAGACTTTGAAATTTCTTCTTTCCCGGTCTGTCTTTGGGAGGGGGGACTCGGTGACGAATCGTTGTCATTGGTCTGTGAGTGACCGCAATTCCATACATGCGAAGGGTGCGTCCGATGGTCTCGCTTACGTTCCTTACGTATGGCAGGCAAATACGGCTCGAAGGGGCCGGGTCTGTGGAGAGACCAGGACGGTGCAGCTTCTTGTATACTCGGTTGATAAATCTTTGAGTGTATCCGTTTTTTTGAAGATCGGCCTTGATCTAGCATACCTTCTTTCGGAGGTTCCTCCGTCAAGCATACAGGCATGGCTCGAGCCAAAACCGAAGATCTTTCTACGCTACGTTGACGACTGGTTTTGCGTCGTTAAGACGACTGAAATCGACCTTCTTCACCAACACCTAAATTCAGTCGAACCCGCAATCTAGTTCATCGTTCAGCGTGATAAACATGGCGCTCTCCAGTTTTTGGATGTCAGTGTGCAGAATAATTTAAACAAGCGTATTTTCTCGATGTAGAAGCCTACGAACACCGGCAGGTACCTGTACTTCAAATCTTACCATCCCGTAACACGCAAGGTATCAGTGGTCAAGAAAAGAAAACGTCAGCATATTATTGGGCACTCTCCCAAGCGTATACATGTCTCAGTACCTCGTCGCACCACAGAAAAAAACGGGCGCAACCTTCCGAATCGGGTTCCAGAGCTGGATATCCTTGATGGGGATCAAGATGAGGATCATTAGGATGATATAGATGGCGACGACAAAAAAAAAAAGATTCGCCCAACCCATAGTCACCCGTGACCAAGGAACCGAGCTGGACCCGGAACGTAGGATATTTTGTTTTTTATGCAAACTTGGCTAAAGATTCAATTTTTTCATACAGCCTATTTATTTCCTAACCAGACAGATCTCTGTCGAACATGTTTACATTCAAGCACTAGGAACGTTAGAGGAGACAGGTTTCTCTCCTTGTCAACAGCCCTCCTACTGCTTGCCCTTTCTCCCCTCGTCCGGCGCTTCTGTCACTCGTACCGCACATACTACTGTTGATGTTCTGGTCCCCGCGCTCTCTCGTCTTTTTCTCTGCCCCTCAGTGGCTACCCATATATGAGTTGTTGGCTGTAGTCGGCAACCCGTTTTTGCTGGCGCACGTGCACACGACCATCCGATCTGACGAACTTGCACGCCGTATGGTTAGACTGGGGAAAGTGCGCAATGAGTCCGAGGAGCGCGAATTTCATTGCAGGCTGAGGCAATACCTCCTAGAAGACAAGCCGCTTCGTTTTTATCCCCGAACCGTCATCACTAGTGAATCCATGCAGTCCCACCTACAGGTGTCGTTGGCATCGCCGCCAGCGCCTACTTCGCGGCGTCTCAGAGCGAGCACGATGCCAGCACACGGCAACGCCAACCCGCTGCCGGTCTTGCGGCAACACTCGTCGAAGTTTAGCGGGCTTACCGCTTCGGGTGGGTCGGAGATTCACTAACGATGGCGTCGTACGCAGGCCTTGCTTCCTAGGTGGTATTGGCTGGGAAGGTTCGTAGGAGACGAAATGCGGAAGGGGCACGGGTGCGGAACCGATAGAAAGCGGAAAACACCATGAAAACCTTGAGAATGAAGCAAGCTAACGAGGCTGCGCAGTAACGACAACGACACAACAATATTAACAAATTACGCAATCTGCAAGCTGCTGTGGCTCTAACACACGCTACAAAAGTAGGTTTAGGAGAAAATCGGCTCAAAAAACAGAATTCGTTTTTCTTTTATGTCTTCATCCAAAAAATGCTTTTGAACTTTCGCATCCTATCCCCATGCCCCATGGCACAGGTGTTTCAGCTTTCTCCGATTCGTAGTTTATTTACGTTGGCCAGAGCCCGGGTTTCATTTGTTTGATCGAACACGGTACATCACTTTTCGCCTCGGCCTCTTTGCTGGTACACAATTTACGAATAAAAAAATGCAACGGAACTTGTTTTTCCCGCAACCGTTGCATTTCAGTACACAAATGTGTCGAAGAAATAGTCCGCAATTTAAGGCTGCAAATATTCGTTTTCTTAAAAGGAAAGCTTTTAATTTTTGTATTACTCGTATGTTTTTGTCGAAGAGAGGATATCGCCAACGCAACATATTTCGAATACGCAGCTTATTTTGCGACGACATGAAGACAACGAAAATACGTATAAGGGTTTCAAGTTGACTTTGACGGGCTTATTGAAAAAAATTCTGGATTGTTGTCTTCAAAGCTTACTCCCTAGTGACTGTCACTCAAACGCCTGCGGTTTCCTTGTCACGAATGACAAGGTGGCAAAACAAAGAATAACAGAGGAAACTCAAAGGTTACTGGAGCGAACTTGTGCCCAAAACAAAAAAAAAAGGAAACAGAAGATAACAACAGAGCGTCGCGGGCGTCGAAGTCGGTGTAACAACAGGGTCGAACGCTGGGGCGAGAGTGACTGTGGCTTACCACGCGGAGCCCCTTTTGTACACGCGTGAGCTTCTGGAAGAATCGACCGTAGAAGGTTCCCGCATAGAACTTTCTAACCTCGAATCAGCCAACACGGTGCTCCAATATACCAGAACATCACAAAACAGAGTCAACAAAAATTTGTATGCGCGACCAGACATCAAACCTTGGCTTTTTGCGTCGAATGCAAGCGAGATAACCGTTAGGCCACGATCGCGCTGCCTGCTTCGTCAGCAACAAGAGCGCGGCATTATTCCCCCTCTTTAAAAAAGTGCATCGTCACGATGCAGCAGAAAACACAAGTCCACAATAAAAGGATAGCAGAGTCGCGAGCCACAGTTCAAAGTTCACAGTTCACTCTTAAACGAGAGTCCAAAGTTCTATCGTTCGTGATACAGCTTGAGCCGGACGACGTGCACCACTCTGGGGTCGTGGCTGTTGTATTGCAGATGGGTGCGTTCTGTCGGGAAGAACTTCGTAGTTCAGATCGCCGAGGTGTTGGATGATCTTGTAGAGTCCGATATAGTGTATCAAAAGCTTTTCCCTGGAACCGCGGCGCCGTATCGGTGTTCAAACCTATACCCCGTTTCCGGGTTGAAAGGGGACGTCCCGGCGACGAAGGTTATACCAGCGTGCGTCGACTCGCTGTTGTTGTTGAATCTTGATCCTTGCCTGTTGACGAGCTTCCTCCGCGCGGTGAAAGATCAGTTGAGCGTCGTCGTTGCCATCCTCGTTTGGCACGTAAGGCAGCATGGCGTCGAGAATCGTGGTATCAGCTCGGCCGTGTACCAGTTGAAACTGCGTCACTCTTGTGTTATGTCGGCGATCGTCTTGTAGAGCCGCTCCGTTACTCTGTTGGTTTGGGATTTAAAAGCGGTGGTTAATTGATGGTTGGTTTGACTGAGCCGAAGAGCCTCTTGAGTCAGCTGTGCCATGAAATATGATCCTCTATCCGTGATCAGCACTTCAGGCGCGCCGTGTCGAAGAAGGATGGATTCGACAAAAATCTTGGCGACTTCAAATGCTGTTTGAAGTCGCAGGGCGTTCGTTTTGGCGTATCGTGTAAGATGATCGGTCGCGACGATAATCCACTGGTTTTCTTGCGTCGATTTTGGAAGGGAACC